CTTTTTGGTTTATTTATACTTTAGTATTCAGTTTTGAATTTTTTTTTTTTCAATTTTGAGAGTCTTTTTTAAAATTGTTAAAAACATATTTAGTTTGTCATTTTGAAAAATTATTTCTTAAAATATAAAACTAGAAAATACATTTAGTTTGAAACTTTAAAAAATTGTTTATGGCATTTTATTCAATAAAATTTGATTAATCGTTTAAAATAGAACAATTTTATATTAATGTATTATCAAATAATAAATACATTTTAAAGTAGAAGAATTTTCCAATATTTTTTCTTGCTACACAAGCAAAATAAATATAAATAATAAATTGAGTTTCAAATACAGAAAATGAAAATAAAAATTAGTGACATGGACTCATACTTTTACATTTGTTCAGTCATTTATTTATTTTGAATTTTTATGTGAAGCTTAGACTATTTTTACTTTTCTAGAAAATTTTATGGTTTTATTTTTTAAAATTTTATTCTTTAGAATTTTACGTTTTAATTTTTTTAAATTTTAAATTTTTAGTATTTTATTTAAAAGTCTATTTTTTTCATATTATAAGTGTTTTCAGAATTTTAGCTAAAAAAAACTCAAATTGTCAAAAATACATTTTGAGTTTTTTGTTATAAATTTGACCTTAATTTCGAAAATACATTTACTAAAATATCAGACCAAACACATTTTCAGCATTTTGTAAAACTGAAAACTGCCTGAAAATGGTAAACTAAAAGCACCGTAAATTTTCTAATAGTAAATTTTGGAAAAATGTATTGGATTTATGCTGAGAATATTTTTTTGTCAAAATGTGTGATTGAAATGAGTACGAGGAAAAAGGAAAGAGTTTAATTAGAACTTTTAAAGATAGTTTAAATTTTTTTAGGAATATTCAATATAATTTTTTTGAGACTTGTTAAAGTATTGGTATTCAATATAAATTTTTACATACTTGTTAAGTGTTGATGTATTCAATATAATTTTTTATAAACTTTTAAAAAAACTTTTAACAATTTATAAATTTTGGATAACAATGACTTTTAAAGATTTTTATAAAAATCTCTAGAGCACTAATTTTAAGCAAAAAGTACATAAACAAAATCTCAAATATTGTCTCTCATTCACCTCAATATTTTGAGTGACTTTAAAACAAGAATTTTTTTGATGTGTATTTTTATTTTTCAATATTAATATTTCATATTATCTTCTATGAATATGAGAGTCATGATTAAAAAATATTATTTTTTTTCTTTTACTGATTACATATTTGTTTTCATTTTACTTTCTTCTCCCTCTCTCTTATTGTTTCTTCCCATATTTATTATTTTTATAGTAACATTTTTTTCATTAATTTTTTTTAATCAAAAGGATATATTTGTAATTAAATTTTGTAAGGTTTTATATATAAAAAAAAGACTACTTTATAATTAAACTTTAAATATATTGATTGGCTGCCTATTTTTAAAGGTATAATATATTGATAATACTGAACATTAATTTTTTTTAATATTTTTTTATCAAAAAATACCAAAATTTATATGCATTTTTTGTCTTTTGATTATTTATTTATTTAACTAACGTGACTTTACTTAAACATTTTTTTTAATTATCAAACTATTGCACTAAATCCACATAAATTATATTTTAAATGAAAGTTCTCAAAAATCTTATGAATTACATAAAAGTCTATAAAAAGTTTTATTAAAATGAAAGTATATAGAGATCTACGAAACACTTTCATTAATTCCACAAAATCTATAAAAATCCACCAATTCCACAAAAAGTCCGTCACCTAAGAAAAAAAGTTGAAAAATGTTCAATTTGCTCCAATTTAAATTATTGGGAAAATTTATTAGAGAAAATTAACAAAATAGTCAACTTTTGGCTTAACATTTACAAAAATGTCACTTTTTTAAAGTCTTTGCAAAATTGTCAATTTTGGACTTTTTGCCCCTCTTAAAAATTCAAATACCCTATACATCCTTGAGTTGACAACATAAAAAGTTGTACAAAAAGTGGAGAAAATGTGACAATCAATCAGCTCACAATTGTACTTCAATATATATATATAGCAAAAGAATTTAACTATTAACTCATTCATTTTTCTTTCTCTAATACGTTTCTTTGTAAAATTTCTCTTTTCTCTTTTCTTTTTTTCTATGGTTCCTCTCTTGATTCTTTGAAAACTATATGGAGTGCAGATTCTTACGTTGAGATCCCGTTTATTACGTCCATACAGAAGGAAGAAAAATATCTTACATAATGTTTCGAATATATGCGTTTTTCAAGTTTTTTACTATTGTTCCTCTTTTTCTTTAGATTGCACCATCAATTTTGAGTTTCCTACATCTAGACCATGAGTTAGATTGTTCTCTGTTTTGGGTTCGACTTTGTTTAGAGAAATCATTTACAGGTAATTTGGATTTCTCTATTTTTAAAATATTTTTTGGCTTATATTTTTTTGGGCATTTTAATTTTTTCTAAATTTTTTTGGGTATTATATATGATTTTTTTTATATATTTTTCTAAATAAATATTTCACGTTCTATCAATTTTTTACTTCATATTTCTCTGAATTTGTCTGGTTCGTAGAAGCTGATTATTGTATTATATTTGTCATTTCAATCTACCTTATTTGTTATATTTTCCTAGGTTAGGCACGGGTATTAAATCTTTTAAGAGAACTGTTTAATATGTCACAATTAAAGTCTATACAATTATGAATTCTCAACACATGAGAACTTCTCGAAAGATCAGTTATATGACTCATCTGTCGCGATAAACTATCGTTCCCGACAATTCGTTTCAGTTATTCTCGATAGATGAGTCATCTTTTGGATATGAACTGTCATTTTCGACAATTAAATGCAGTATTTCTCGAACATTATAGTTTATATTTTTTATTTCTTATACGTGTGTTTAGCGCTAACATCTAAAGAATTCAAAATTTTAAATACACTTATCTCAGTACGTAATATGCAAACTATAAATATTGAATTCATGTTCATTAATATTGTAATTGTTGTTTTCAATTAGATGGAGGAGGCATTAACCCGTGCTCGGATAATTATGAGGGTCCATTGCCTAGTAGGAACCAAGAGGTAAACGGTATGTGCGTTAATTATGAGGAATTCAAAATTTTAAATACTCTTTATCTTATTCCGTAAATTGCGAACTAGAAATAATGAACTCGTGTCGATTAGTGTTGCAAATGTTGTTTTCAAATAGATGGAGGAGCCATAAAGCTTGAAGTGTTATGCCCGGACAATGAGAAAGTTCCCTCAGCTTGTAGCGTGACCGATGCGGCCACCATACCCATCGAAAGTAATGATGTTGTTAACACAAAAAGGCAATGATCGACACACATTCGATTTCTTGCAGCATCTACTAGGACTCTATACACCAAGGAAAGGAGAAAGAGAGTAAAGAAATAGTGTGACGAAATTTGTTAATTATACATTAGAATTGATTTGTGTACTAAATGACCTCATTTTGCTCCCTTCCAAGAATGTGGTTATAAACATGATTTGGTGGTTACATCCACATGTGGTTATACATTTTATCAATTATCGTTTCTCATACTTACTGGATTGTTCAATTAGGACGAGAAAAATTGTTGAGTTATATATTATAATTTTGTCAGGGATAAATATAGTAACGCTTTACCAAATGTTCTGCAACAACTTATCTCTTATGCATCTTATTTATAGTTACATTTTCTGCTCGCAACCAACTGTCGAGAATGACAGAAACCTTCTGTCGGAACCGATAGTTTAACTGTCAGGATGTTATGCAATGTCTATAAATGATAATAAAATGTTGATAATAATGTAAGTTGACAATGTATTCGCGAACAACATGTCCCTTATACATTTTTTGGTAGTCAAATTTTCTACTTTGCAACCATCTTTCGAAAATGATAGAATCCTTTTATCGGATGATATGCAATTTTTATCAATGTAATTATTTTGCTTGTAAACTTAAACACGACTAATGTCTGCTAACAGTAATAAATGATAATGATAATATAACTTCAGAATGTACAATGCTATCTGGGAAACATTCAGAATATAACTTTAACTACTTTTAGATATCAAGCCTATTTACATGAGTTGTGTTAGAATGGAGTTGGAACACGTGGTTCGGTTATGGTCAACTTTACCATAACGAGTGGATAGGGTAATACTTGTTGGAGCTAAAACAAAAGTGGTTTTGTCCATTATCCATTTTCATTCGTTATCCACATAAACAAACTTTTCCCCGTGCGATACGATAAATCTCAAATGATTACTAGAGATTGTAATGGTAAGAACACTACACAATCAATATGCCGACATTTAATAGCATGAAAGTGACACTTTTGAATATTTAAATTCATTCAATAACAAAAGGTGAAATGAATGGTTGAATCCCAACAGTGAAATTATTTTTCCCGATAGTTTTTAAATGTCGAGTTCGACAGTTAAGATATCTAATATGGCGGTTTCAAAATATCGAATTCGATAGTTGAACTGTCGAAATTGTCGAAAAGCTTAAAAACATGTATTTGGTACCTTGAAAAAAATTATTCAAAACATTAATGATGATAATCAATTCTTAACAGTAACATCACAACATCTTCCCAAAATATAAACAAGGAATAACTTAATAGTTAATTAATTATGAAATCCTTAACATTTTCTAAAGGACGTTGATATCTTTTTCCTTTAAAAATATATCAAGAATCAAACAAATCAATGAATAAGAGTTTTAAAAATTTCAAATAAATATGACTATGTTTTATTTAACATTTAAAATAGTAAGCTATAAGATTAAAATATAAATAATTTCTAATAGCTAACCTCTGAAAAATGGATAATGAATTTAATAGTGATGTCTTCTTGATGATGAAATGAAGAAGATGGATAATAAGTTAGAGTTTCTGAATGGTAAGAAGTTTGGTGTGTTTTTTTTTTTTTTTTAAATTTTTCAAATTCGTTTTTTTTTTTACCAAAATTCATACTATCCAATATAACAATCATATCTCTAATATTTATAATATACAAAACAAATTATCACATCACAACATTAGTGATTTTCAAATCAAGCATTAAATACTCCTAAAAAGGTGTTACTAACAGTAATATGAACCTTTTACACCCAAAAGTGACATTTTTGACCAAATTTAGTGCAAACGAAATTTTTTGTGCATTTTCAAATTTAGTGACATTTATAAAAATTTTCCAAATTATTGTAGAATTTACTTCAATTTAGTTCTCAATCTGTTTTCTTTACTATATTACTCTTGAGTTATTTTAATTCTTGTAACTACATTGATCTTCTGGAAATTTTTTATTCATTTGACAATTTACACCGTACTTCAAGAAAGTCTCCTAAGGGGAGCTGGGAGACAAGGATGGCTAGGTTGGGCTTATATGGCGAGGAACAGTGGTAGCAAGGAGGGGTAGGTTGGATTTGGAGAATGTTAGGACAATGTCAATGATGGAGAAATTTACCATCAGTTTCAAAATATTATGTTTAAAATTATCAAAAATAAGTAAAGAACTAAGTTAATCGAGGATTATATGTTTTAATCGTAAAGTTTATATTACTGAATACGTCTTTACATACTAAAAGCCTGTTCGATAGTTATTATGAGAATTGACTTTTTGATTGTTAGAGAGAAAAAGTGGATTCCACGTATGAGTGAAAAAAGTAAAAAATGACAGATGAAATAGTAAAATAACGGTCAAAAAATTGATTTTTTTGGTTGAAAAATTACTTCCAAAAGGGGCTTATATTTTGATAGATCAAATTGAACAAGGGTGGACATGAAAACAAGCCATCTTGTTGATTTCTAACATCTCTCTTCCTCATCAAAGTTCAACCTTTTTTGAGTCTAGGTTTAGTTTCATATGGAGACCTATGATAAATCGATTACTAGATTGCACTATGTAATAATTACAAATTGACTAATCAAAAAGGAACATGGAAATTAAGTTAAATTGAGATCGAGATTCTCTTAATTGATCATTTTTCGAAAAAAGTAGTATGAAGATTAATAAAAATGTGACATAATTGTGGTGGATTTATCCGAAAAGAAAAAGAAAAAATGATGATTGGGAGAATGTCTTGAAAACCATAATCAAGGGGCTTCATCACAAGCGTTCCTTTCTTTCCCAGTCCTCTCATGCATCCCCATTCCCAGAATCTCCATTGATATCCTTCAAAAATCCCCATTATCACTATATTCGCACGTATACATATACGATGGAAGCCCCACCTACGCCGGCGGTGCTACCGCAACACTTCAGAATCAGTCAGCATCACAACCCCCGCCCTTACGGCGGAGGCAAGGATGGCGGTCCTGTTGAATTGGCGAAGGAACCATCGCATTCCGACGACAATAACGTCAAAGAAGACAGGTGCGGGGCGGAGCTTCGGGCGCAACTGGATTGTAACCTAACCTCACTGTGTGACCACATCCAATTGGAGGGATTCAATAATGGCTCATTCTCCGATGTCGTCGTACACGCCATGGGATCAGTTTACCACCTCCATCGCCTTATCCTCTCCCGAAGATCTTACTTCCGGTTTGTTCTCTTTGGTCAAGCTCTTGGGAGATACAGTTTTTTCGGAGAAGTAGATTTCATCGTAAATTTCCAATGAAATGTTGGCCCGTTTTATTGGACCAATCATTCAGTGCCACTGCATTGCCACTTAGATTGGTGGTGGTGATACACAGCATTAATCTTATGCTATCCAATTGTCACTCTTAAATACTGGTTTGAGCAAGCTAATCGTTACAGTAAAATGTACTACTGTGAGGTTCTTTGAATACGTGCCATTTGCTTAACTGGACTTGGGTTGAAACTTATGCAAATATAGGTTCATTAATATCCCTGAGGTCATTTCTGAGTATTGTATTTTGTTGTATAGTCCTTGTCTTATAGTTTGTATCCTGTTTTTCGATGCGGTGGAGAATGGTCAAGAGATATTAATTGTTTCATGATCAGTTTATAAGAAAGTGAGATTTTTTCCATAAAAAATTATTTTGATATGAGAAAAGGAGATTTTACTCTGTTACCTGTTAATGTAGTTTTGGGGTTCTAAAGAATGTTGTTGTTAGGTTGTACTAATTTACTAGTTGCATACATACCATAGAATTGACAGTAGAAAGCCAGGTAACGTCTTTATCCTTGTTTAACAGAATGGGTTTGAACTAAGCTAGCAGCCTTGTGTGTATTGATTAACTGCTCTATTGCATTGAAGAAAATAAAAGCTAGTTTCATTATCAGTTAACACAATGAATGTTGATAACTAAACAGTAATTTTGTATTGCTATGTAAAATTTAGATGGTCAGAAAGAAAAAAATGGTAAAGAGATTCATTAACAACATATGCTTACTTAATAAGAGAGTTGATATAGATGGTGATATCAGCAAACATGTTAGTCGAGGGGAAGTTGCAAATAAATACTGCCATCTATGATGCCTGTTGTCAAGGAGATGGAAATGGTGAAATTTCCAGTCTGCATATTGAATCTTTTGGTATTCGTAAGAGTGTATTGGGAGAACATAATATTATTCAAATTTTGGACTTTTGACTTCAGCGTGTATATTTTGTTTTTGAAGTTAACTTGTATGTTTAATGTTATTTTGCTTTTGATAAATTCCTAGGATGTCCTAGAGAAGTAGGAAACTGAAATCGTTGTTTTCTTATACATAGTCACGTGATAGTGTCTTAGTGTTTCATGCGTTTTGTCAATTTTGCTTTTCTGTCAAACAATTTAAGTGTTGACATTTTAACATTTGCCAATGATAATCTGCAGAAACATGCTCCAGGGCCCTTGGAAAGAGGTCAATGCTCCTGTTCTGACCTTGCATGTGGATGATAACAATGTAGATGGGGATGCAATGGCAATAGCTTTGGCATATCTCTATGGACACCACCCTAAGCTTGATGAGAGTAATGCATTTCGAGTTCTAGCTGTTGCATCTTTTCTTGATCTTCAGGTATCCAGTGCTAACCGTTAATACCCCACCTCCTATTAAAGTCATCATTGCTGGTTAGAGATTCAGTTTATGCAACAGCAATTTTGCACTTCACTCCGGTGAAATGGATGGATTCTTCACCTCTTCTCTCTATTCTGGCTTATAAGAAACTCGTCTGTAACCAAAGTATTCATATTCCTGTCTCCAAACTTTGATAAATGTAAGATGCTTCATCATTAAGGATATAACTTTCATGAGTCCTTCTAGTTTGATAGTAGGTTCCATTTTGATGTGTTAATGCCCATTGGTTTAGGAATGAGTTTTCAATTACATTATCTCGTGTCAGTTGGCTTGGGTCCCATAGGATGTTTGGAGAACGAATTATGATACTAATGCTAAAATTATGAGGTTTTGCAAGATGCTGAGAGTTAATCTCAAGTCAATATCGTATGATAATTCCATGGACTGTTCAGCATTCCAGAATGATTTCCCTTTCACCAAACTAAAGATTTGGCATCAACCAAATATTGAGCTCCCCCCCCCCCCCTCCCCCAAAAAAAAACAAAAAAAAACATTGGATATAAACCACATTTATCATGTATTCATGCCCATTCTGAATTAGGTATTTGCTGAGAACCAAGATTATGGTATACATGGAGAGAGAGTTAGAAATGCTTGCTGGGGATACCTCTGTCAAAGTGGTGCCAGGGAATTGAAAGAGGCGAGTGTTGAAAATATTTTGATAGTGATGTTATGTGAACTTTGGCAGCTGTTTCCTTTTGTCTCCTGGTCGTGGTGACAAAATGTACACATATTTTCCTTATTAGGATGTTAATGTGTCGGATCTAACCTTTTATAAATATTAGGTGCTTCCAAGACTTTCTCCTCAAACATTGCACGCTTTGCTCACCTCAGATGAATTATGGGTGCCTAGTGAAGAGAAACGGTGAGGAAAGACAGATGCCTGTAAATTGTTTTTTACAAGAATTCGGATGCTGATAACTTTTCAAAACTATTGTTCTTTGAATCTGGAAGGTTTGAGCTGGCATTATACATTCTTCTTACAAAAGGTACTCTCTGCAAGGCAGAACACCATGAGCAAGGAAGTTCAAATTCTGATGCTGTAACAGGCATTCATTCCGATGCTTATATAGAGAACGGAAAACATTTAGTTGATGGGAGCGCTAGAGACATGCTAGAATCTGAAGGGTTCGGAAAACTAAAAGATGAAGTTGAAGGTCACTATACTGCTCGTAATATCTTGGTTGAGCTTGTGGACTGTGTTGTGGATTTCCATTCTGATTCTGCCAACTGTAAGCAACAGGTGCAAAAGTCGGTATGCAGTCAATCAAACTTGGAGTCAAGATACCAAATCAGCTCTGAACGACCTTCAGCAAGTAACAAAGCATACTCAGATGAAGTTCGCACATCATATTCTTATCTAAATATGCCAATTGGAGTTGGAATGAGTGGATCAATGGGCAATGGTGTAACCATGGAAGGGCCGTCTGATGAAGATTCAAGCTACCAACTGAACAACCGTTTGCCTCTAGGAGATCAAATGTGCTGCATGTCTATTAACTCTTCCTGTAATATGCTGATACCCAATGAATGGGGAAGATGCAACATGCAGCCTCTGTCATGGGGTGGTAGGATTGTGGGCAGAAGAGAGGTGAAAACTTGCCTAAAACGTCAATGTGGGGTGAGCAGGGAAGATTATGATGCTTTTGTCAACATTTTTGAAGGAGGCTCTCTTTTGTATTGTAACATGTCCTTTGAGGCGCTCTTGAATATGAGAAAGCGACTTGAAGAAATAGGTTTCCCTTGCAAAGCTGTGAATGATGGTTTGTGGTTGCAGGTGCATTACTGAATTCTTGCATACTTTGTGCTTTCCCACTATTCATACTCAGTGGATGATGAGCATTATTTGTTATCCGTTTTTTGCAAACTAAGAAGTTGGCCTTCAGTCATATTTTGTGAATTTGATTAATGCAGAAATATGCCTAATGTACCTAACAATTTTTATAATGTACAACCTTTAGACACTTTTATAAAGTTTTTGAACTATTTCATGCAGATCTGTCCAAATCATAAGTCTTGAATTTAAATGATTTCAATCTTCTAGATATACCTTATTTTTATTGTCTATTTGTAAATTGCATGCATATTGTAGATGCTCTTAAGCCAGCGGGTGCAAGAAATTGGTACAGATACGTGCAAGAATTGTTGGCTTGGGAGTATGGCATGCATGTGCAAGCAGCCATTTGAGTATTCACGTGGAGTTACAGCAAGTGGATACTACACACAACAGCATGACCACAATAATTTATCCAATGATATAGGGCATGTATATGTAACTAATTCTGCCCAAGGAGAGAGAAATGGCCATTTTAGGCCTGTACGGGTACATGGCAGGGGGCCTAATGATGGGCTAGCTGGTATTGGACGTGGAACTACATTTGTGCCTGCAGCTGCTTGGCCTCCAACGCGTTATGTCTTTTCTCGTGTACCATTTGGTATGGGCAACCTGCACAGTCAGCAAGCTTTTGGTAATGATGATCCAGAGAATAGAGGTGACAACAATGGGGACTATGCCGGTGATGGATTGACAGCTTTGGTTGGGCTCAGTCAGGGAGCAAATAATGTATCTAGCATTCTGGGGGAGCATATGGAACAAGATTACGAGACTGATCAGCGAAGAAAACTGGCAGGATCCTCGGTTAGTGGGCCTAGTACCAGTCGTATTCCTGTGCAAATGATGGACTCATCTGAGCATGCCATTGGGATTGAGTGGGAGAATGCTAACAGTTCAATATCATTAGATCTGAAGACACCCTTGTGTCACTTCCCTCCTTTCCGATTTTCGTAAGCCATCCTCTCTTCTAGCATTGCTGTTGACATATATGCTTTGAATACTTTCTATTTGCAATTTTAAGAACTGGTTAAGGTGAGTATATTTGGCTGAATGTCTAACTGGTTAAGGGGGTTGTAGGATTGATGGTTAAGCTACTAGTCACTTAGTAAATTTCAATTGTTTCGCTTGATTAGTCACTTTCCTTTCAGAAAGATATGTACATTCTAGAACAAAAGAAATTACTTAATGTTTAGCATTGCTGTTGACAAATATGACTGTTTAACCATTTGGGTGTTTTTCCAAGTGGGTGAAACTTATGCTTGGAAAGATGTAAACCCAGCAGCTGTTTTCTCTTATTTGATGTCAATCAATTGCTTGAATGAATTTACGGATCCTGCAGTATAATTTTTTATCATCCGCCACTGGTTTTCAGGGTTGAGTTTCAGGATGTGCACAGGCTCAGTGATGGACAAGTTAAGCACTCTTCCGAAGTATTCTATGCTGGTTCCTTGTGGAAGGTTCTTGAATACAGTCAAATCAATTTTCTATTTTTCCTCCTCTTGATAATGATGAGTCTTTATTCATTTCCTTTTATTGGTATCAAACAGATCTGATTTTTTGGACTCTTGCATCTTATAGGTTAGTGTTCAAGCTTTTAGTGATGAAGATCCTCAGGGACGCTGTACGCTTGGTACTTGCAGAAACCTTTGAATAATACTAACATTTGTCTTCCTGTTCTATCTTTGAATGGAGTAAATCATATTATTATCTTCCCCTCAGGTCTGTTTCTCCACCGAAGGAAGGCAGAGATCAGTGATCCACTAAGAAAGGTCAACTTTATACGTCCTTTCGGTTTATTGAAACGTGGATTTTTTTTTTTTAATAGATTCAGAGGGTGTTCAATCTCTTTTACCCTTTCAAAGTGTAGCCCTTATTTGAGTTTTACCTGCCTTCGTTTTTCTTTGTGGCGAAAATAAAACTAACAAGCTCGTCTATGATTCATTAAAATTGTACATCTCCCATTTTCCGTGATTTCAGGTCCATATGTATGTGGATACTCGCGAGAAGGTTACAGCTAGATATCAGGTGAACTTACTGACTCTAAAATATTCATCGCTAGAATATTGTGTAATTTGTTGAAGGCCAATGTGTTTGTTCCTTTATTTTCAGTTGATTTGTCGGTCGAAAAGAGAAGTGATGGTGTTTGGGAGCTTTAAACAAACAGGAACGCTTCTTCCAAAAGCGCCCAAGGGATGGGGTTGGCGAACAGCTTTGTTATTCGACGAGCTTGGTGATCTCCTCCAAAATGGGGCCTTGCGAATAGCTGCTGTTGTGCAACTTATTTGATGCTGCTTGAGGTAAATGAAATATGGCATTTAATAATGGAATTATGCAAGATGGAAGCATGTCTATCTCAGCTCTAATAAGAAAAGTTACTTTCCCCCCTTTTTTAAGTAAAAATTTGAAATAATATCTATCTTACGCTCAATGAAAGTAACAATTTCAGTTACTTTTACGTATACATTCTAAGCTTAGCTAATTATTCTTTATCGAATGCATTAAAACGAAATTATAGCCTTGCCTCATGGTGATACCTCATTCTACGTGGCCAATCGAGAGCTACTTTACGTATTTCTCGCTGCGCACAATCAACGCACGGTCAGATGCACACGGCCGAGACCAGCTGGGGTGGTGGCGGCCGTATACACTCCGACGGTCAAGTCAGGTTCAGGTGGTCGGAACAGTACCCAGGGGTTGTGCAAAATAATAAGGGGGAGGAGAAAATGTATATATATACTTGCTATGGGGTGCTACGTAGTAAGAGTTTCATTACCTTTGCCTCTTGTTAACCCTTGGGTATTTATAGGTGGGATGAACCGTTGGATGTGGGGTACGTGTATACATCTGACAGTATGAGGTGTCTGCTCATAGGTGTCAATCAACCGCGTCTGTAGAGTGGGCGGGTAATTGCTTCTCCCGAGTTGAGTTGACATAAAGTTGATAAGTCACATCAACTAGTTTCATGGAGACGTCAAACCAATTTAAACCTTAGGGGCAGAAAGAATCTTGGCAAAGATCTCCTTCTGAAATTGGCGACGGATCTTCTAACAGAGGTCCCCGAAGTGCACTTCACCTCGGCCTCAGGGTTGAGGGCGCTTCGGTAAGTTCAGCAGGATCGCCTATGTCTCGCAGTGTGATAGCAGGTCGTTGACATTGGGGAGATCACTTCGGAACCACTTCGGGTGAGTGTCTGTTAGACCGGAGTGTGTAGTGGTGGACATTCTAAGGTAGTTTAGATATGGGCGTAACAGTGGTCCCCCAAGTCCAGGTATGAATATTTATATTATGGATGGACTTGCCTTCCCGACCGGATGTGTATGCCTAGGTACGTGGACCATGACTTGTGGGAGTTGGTGGGCCAATCTTCTGTATTTGCCGAAGCAATGATCTTAGGCAGATGCTCTAAAGATTCGCTACTGCGTAAGGAAAATAATTACTCATGTGAGACCGAAGTGCTGCAAGACTAGATGATGCGTAGGAAGAAGGTCAACGCAGCGATCGAGGCGATGACCTACAGTGGACTCAAGTCAGGTGCGTCTAAACTTTGTAAAGTTGAGTGAGGAGCTCGTCTGCCACCGGTACGCTGACCTACAGGGGACGACGTGCTGAGAGATGGCTAAAACATTGTAAAGCTTAGGAGGGAACGCAGCGACTGAGGCGATGACCCACTGGGGACTCCGCATCAGGTGCGTCTAAACTTTGTAACTTGAGTGAGGAGCTTATCTGCCACCAGTGCGTTGACCCACAGGGGACGACGCGTTGGGAGATAGCTAAAACTTTGAAAAGCTTAGGAGGGAATGCAGAGACTGAGGCGATAACCCACAGAGGACTCCGCGTCAGGTGCGTCTAAGTTTTGTAAAGTTGAGTGAGGAGCTCATCTGCCACCGGTGCGCTGACTTACAAAGGATGAAGCATTGGGAGTTGGCTAAAATTTTGTAAAGCTTAGGAGGGAACGCAGCGACCGAGGCGATGACCCACAGGGAACTCCGCATCAGGTGCGTCTAAACTTTGCAAAGTTGAGTGAGGAGCTCATCTACCACCGGTGCACTGACCCACTGGGGACGACGTGTTGGGAGATGGCTAAAACTTTGTAAAGTTTAGAAGGGAACGCAGCGACCGAGGCGATGACCCACAGGGGACTCCACATCAAGTGCGTCTAAGTTTTGTAAAGTTGAGTAAGGAGCTCATCTGCCACCGGTGCACTGACCCATAGGGGACGAAGTGTTGGGAGATGGCTAAAACTTTGTAAAGTTTAGGAGGGAACGCAATGACCGAGGCGATGACCCATAGGGGACTCCGCGTCAGGTGCGTCTAAACTTTGTAAAGTTGAGTGAGGAGATCGACCCAAGGCGGGTATCTGACGTTAAAATGATTTGACAGCTGTTGCGTATTTCTAAGGTGATAGTTGGATACCATGCCCATTCCCCTAAAAGGCTGCTGCGACTACTTATTGTCGACGACTGGTGGTGACCGAGGTGACGCGTTTTATGCGAGCGTGAGGGTTACAACAAGATCTTAGGCGTAGATCAAATCTGACGTTTCATTTCAACAGCCTATATTGATGATGTGACGGATGGCCTAGATTGATTGCATTTGAATTCAATGGTGGAGATCAGCTGGAGCGTTCTATAAAAGGCAGACTTTGAGCTCTTTGAAGCTTTTCACCCTTGTGCAAATAGAAAATTTACTTTGCTCTCAAATCATTCGCGATTTTCAGCATTTTTCGAGCATTTCCGGTGAGAAAAATCAATTTCCAGCGACCTTACATAATTTCTTGACCATTTCCGGCTGGGGAAACCTCTGAATTCATAAGTTTCAGTAACTTTTGGGACATTTATTTTTTGAAAAATGGCTTCTGAGGGAAGTTCTGGTTCGGGATGGGGCTAGAATTAGTGAGGATGGACGAGCCCACTGTGGCGACCTCCTCCGATATAGTCGAAGCAATACTTGGGGGGAAAATATATGGAAGAGGCCGTATAGCCTGGCTGATACTTCCGTGCACTGGGGGGCGTCGGATTACCCCTCTAAACTAAAGGAGGCCGACCTGGAGAGACTTAGGGTAGAATATAGGATTCCAGACAGCATAAATCTGATCCTCCCCGAGCTTGAAGAGAGGGCCTGCTACCCTAGGTCGGGATGCGTGGCCATAAGTGAGGCAATCCTTAGAGTAGGCCTTAGGCTTCCGATTCACCCTTTCTTTAGGATGTTACTTAGGTCCTTTGGATTAGCTCCGACCCAACTCAATTCGAACTCCTGAAGCCAAAAGGTAGGCTCCTGGATGTTGTGGAAAGAGGCGTCACTTGGGGTTGAGATGCCCTTCTCCGTCTTTCAGACCCTTTATATCCCTAAAGTAATAGCCGGGGGGTATAAGACCCGAGGCTGGTATTACCTTACTTCATGGGGTTCCCATACTCCATCCGTGCTTGATCTGTCGAGCTCCATCAAAGAGTGGAAGAGCTCGTAGTGCTAGACCGCAGGATGATGGGACACGATGGAGGGGGACCCCCTGGCACCTCTTACGGTCCCCACGAAGTACTCGACACTTAGTGAGTATCACAGTTGCGTTTCTTTATACTTCTCTTTGGTTCGGATCGTGACTAACATTTGTATTTCTCTTGAAGGTACTCGTCCTTAGTGCGAGCTATCTTCTGAAGACTTCGACACCATTTGCATCATCTATCAGCTGCCTCAGAAGAAGATGTCATACCATCAGCTGATCAGAAAAAATCTACACTTCGTTACACACGACCTGATGGCATCCCAAGGTAATTGTCCCGAAGCTTTTACCCTTCAATATTTCTAAACTCTTTACACTTGTACTAATTTATCGTTTGTTCCTTGCAGACAACTTCAACAAGAAGATGCCCATGCGCCCCGACTTTAAGACCATCCAAAGGATGATGGCAGAGGCACGGGCGCTGAAGACCTCCTACTCCACCTACAAGAAGCAAATGGAGGACCTGGTGGATGCCAGTAAAAGGCTCCAGCCCCCGACGGAGGAGGAGGTGCCAAAGGACCCTGAGGCCGACCTGTTACGGAAGGGCAAAAAGAGTGCCGCCCCTTCAAAATGCCCAACTGTAGCGAGGCCACCCCCCATTCTGAAGCAAACTACAATCCCAATCGGGGTGGCCATTCCAAAGAAGAGGCCTACACCAGCAAAGGTTGCTACTGCCCCGGCCACTTGCTATCATGCCTATTGCCCAAGTACCGGGACAGTAGAGGAGAAAGAGAGCCTGTCCCTCTAAGGAGGTCGACTTCTTGGGCATCAACCCGGAGGAGCCGGTGAAAGAAGTGTTGGAGGCTCTTCCTTCAGAAATGGCTGCGGTGGCGATGGTCCACAACAAATACTGGACCGAAGAGTGGAGGGACCACACCGCTTCCTGCACCGCCGAAGACCTGGTGGTGGCCAACAGTGCCTGCGTGGCTCGGGCTCTCAGCACCAACATCCAACTGAAAGGCTTGGTGAAGGATCTGAATGCTAAGAGGGAGGACCTCATCAAGTGCCTCGAGGAGGCGATGCAGTACGGGGATGTTGTGAGAGAGGCCCGGACCAAGGCCACTGAGGAGGAGGAAGGACGAAAGGAGGCCGAGGCCCAGCTGACTGCCGTCAGAGCAGAAGTGGAGCGACTGAAGAAGGAGCTATATGAGGTGGAGTGCCAGGTGGCTGCCATGACTCGGCGAGTGGATCACGCCAACGAGCACCACCGACTCGCCACGAAGGCTCTGGAGGCCTCAAACAAAGAAAATGCGGAGCGAGGCAAAAGGTTGAGTCTCAATCTGAGGAGATCGCCTCCTTGAAGGAGGAGTTGAAGTCGGCAGGGGAGGTGGTCGTTCAGAATTTCATCGACCACTTCGAAGAACACCCCCTGTACGATGACTTCGCCAACTTTTGGGCCTCCTGGAGTGCCCAAGGTTTGCTGGGTCGGCTGAAAAAGGTCCACCCCACTCTAGACATCTCCTCTTTGGAGGTAGAGTTCGGGGGACAAACTGGAGGCCGGCCTGATAGGCTTGCTGAAGAAGCTCCGAAGGCCCCAGAGGCGGTCGAGGCAGAAGCGGTCCGAGAAGACCCTCCAGTAGAATAGGGCCAACTTTTGTAATAACTTCGACATTTTTGCATTTCAAATTCAAGTAAATGAAATGAAATTTTTTGTTAAGTATTGGTGTTTCTACTATGTTATTGTATTGATCTGTTTACCCTTGTATGAACATTCAAGACTAAGCGTCTCTTAACAATAACCGGTTAATAACAGAAGATCGAATCACCCAAGTTAATATGAAGCGAACCACTTAAGTAAACATGAAGTGCCCTTTAATAGTTAATC